ACCAAGACCCACCAGAGCTGGGATCTAGGTGACGAGAGGTAAGGTCTGTGTCCTGAAGACCTGGGGATGTAGAGACTTCGCTTTAACAGAGCTGTTTACCAACACAGCGGAGGAAATCGGAAATGTGATGTTCTTTATCTGTGACACACGCATTTAATGTGGTCTTCAGCACCTCCTTCTGTGTAGAGGAAAACAAAACAGTGAACTTGAAGTCTCCCGTGCAAGGGATTTAGTTGCCTCTGGCTTGAAAACAGCCAGGAGCTCTTCTGAGTGACTTCTCAGGGCTTCCAAGTCAGTGGTTCTCAACGTGTGGGTCGTGGCCCCTTAGCGGTGGAGCATCCCTTTCACAGGGGTTGCCAAAGACCGTGAAAAACGCGGATATATCCATTATGGTTCGTAACAGTGGCAAGATTACGGTTATGAAGTAGCAACAAAAGTAATTTTATGGCTGGGGGGTTCTCCACAACGTGAGGAACTGTATTGAAGGGTCACAGCATTGGGAAGGTTGGGAGCCGCTGCTCTAGGTCATCGATGCTCTCTTTTCCAGCCCTTTCCCTGACTGCAGTGAAAAGTGGGTGAAGATGGGGCAAATACCACATGACCTTGACCATCGGTGGTACCTAAGAGTAGATCTTGCTGAGGTTTTGAGTGGCAACTAGGAGCTGTGGAGGATAGGGAGGGAAGGAGAAAGAGGGAGACCTGGGAGGGTTGGTCAAAAGGAGCAAGAAGTTCTTGGGTACAAGTGCGTAAGAGGTGACTATATATTGTATAGCGATGTATTATACAAGCCAGACATGGTGGCTCACACCTGTAATCTCAGCACTTGGGAAGCTGAGGCAGGAGGATTCCTATGAGTTTGAAGCTGATATGGGGACATAGTTGGTTCTAGGTCAGCCTGAGCTAAAAAGTGAGACTCTGGCTCTAAACCAAACCAAAGCAAATGTGTTACAGATTTTTAAAAGTTAAAATTATTTTGAAAAATTTTAACACCAAGAAAGGGTAAGTATTTAAATGTTTGACTTCAATATCATACAATGTATAGAACATATATTATCTCATTATTCATATAATTTCTGTTTTTATTTATTTCTTAAGATAGATTTATTTATTTATTTATTATGTACACAATATTCTGCCTGTGTATGTGCTTGCACACCAGATGAGGACACCAGATCTCATTATAGATGGTTGTGAGCCACCATGAGTTGCTGGGAATTGAACTCAGGACTTCTGGATGAGCAGCCAGTGCTCTTAACCTCTGAGACATCTCTCCCAGCCCCCAGTTTCTATGTTTTTATGCATCAGGTAAAATAATCTTATCATGAAAAATAACCCCTGCGGAGGACAAGATGGAGGCTCGTGGGGAGGCTCCGCGATCCTTGGGTTTCCCTGTGTACATTGTAGGCCACTGATCCAAGTCCTCCCTTGTTGACTCAGCCCTTTCTGGGTGGGTTCTCAGGGTCGTTGCTTCTGTCCTCCCGTCTAACCTGCTTGCCTGCAGCTTCCATCGCAGAGGACTGGCTGCAAACAGTGGCCGTCTCCTGGCCTGGTGCTTGTAACCAAATCCGAGTTTACTCTGGAGCAGGCGGAAATGTCGCTAGGTCTTCCGTGAAGAACTTTGAGGGCAGATAATGTGGGAGGGTCCCAAAGGGAGTAACCGTAGATGCTAGTGGATCGTAATTTTGTAATTTGTTCTTTGAACAGAGCTGTGTGGACCACTAGTCTGAAATCCATATGACACTGAGTAAGTTATTCCCAGGCCTGAATACTGAGCCTCGCTGTTTTGTCGTTGGATTCCTTACTTGCTGTGCTTCCACTGTTTTCTCTTAGGGGTTTGACCCATGTAGGAGTGGGTGAGGGAGGTACCTAGAACACCCCCCTCTCTCTCTTGACCCTAAATCATGTTACTCTCTTCTTCCTCCCCTGGCACAGGAAGATTTTGATTTCCATCCTGCCCAGTGGGGGGGAGCCTTACATGATCATCTTCGTTTTCTACCCTGGCTAAGTGCTGGGCCTTGCCTAAGGAGCTGTGACTTTAGGTGGTTCATCCACTGCAGGGAACAATGGAGTCCCTCCCTTGCAGAACCCTTCAGGCAGGGAAGATAAATCACGCAACCACCCTACTTTTCTCAAGCACTCTGAAGCAGCCCTGCCCCCAAGCTTAAAGCCCTGTGATGTAAAGCCTCACTCTGGGAGCCCCATGAAAATGCTTTTCTTGGGCTAAAGAGATGGCTCAGCATTTAAGAGCATTGCCTGTTCTTCCAAAGGACCAGGGCTCAATTCCCAGCACCACATGGTAGCTCACAACTGTTTGTAATTCCAGTTCCAGGGGATCTGACATTGACATACAGACATGCATACAGGCAGAACACCAGTGTACATAAAATAAATAAATAGAAATAAATAATAATTCATTATTCTTTAATAATTTATAATAATAAATAACAATTTCTTATTATTCTAAGAAAAATTCTTGTCTTTATCAAGTGCTTGGCTCTTGCCATAAAATGTTGTAGCTTTCATAACTGTTGTTCTAGTGTGGACATTGAAATGCCTACTTTGGGTAAGGTGTGATGGTAACCCTGGCACTCAGGAGGTGCAGGAGGATGGAAACTGTGAGGAAAGCCTAGGCTACAATATAGTAAGTCTGTGTTTAAATACATAATATAAACAAACAAAAGAAGACAAAGACGTAAAATGATTTTTTTTTTAATCAGGAGAAATAAAAATGTCTTAGAATAAATATTTTAGGGCCAGTAAGATGGCTCAGTGGGTAAAGGCACTTGCTGTGAAAACTTAACAACGGGAGTTCAAGTCCCAGAACCCACATGAAAGTGGATGGAGAGAACTGCACAAAGTCGTCCTCTGATGACCACATGACGCATGACACATCATTCCACCCACACATCCTGCCAAGACTCAGAACAACAACAATAACAATAACGTTTAAAAATGCTTAAAATCACACGGCACCACCAATCCACCGAGTTGTCCTGGCTAGTGCCCTCTCCTGACATAGATCAGTGGTTATCAGACGCCCAGGTCATTGATGACATGGAATTAAAAAGTGCCAGGGCCTGGGAGATGGCTTAGTAGGTAAGAGTGCTTTCTTTGTCATGATGGTGAACTGAGTTCGAATTCCCAGCTCTCATGCTCCAGGCTGGGCATGACTCTACATTCCTGTAACCTTAGAATTGGTGGGGAGAGAGACAGCTGATTCCTGAGAGCTTGCTGGCCTTAGAAATTGACTTAGGTGAAACAAGTGTAAGCTTCAGCGAGAGATCCCATCTCAGGACAATAAGGTGTACAGGCAGAGAGGAAGACACAGCATCCTGTCCTGAGCATGCCATTCACGGGTGCATACAGCTGCACAGTCCAGTGTGCGCAACACACGCACACGAGACGGAGACAGAGACTGAGAGAGAGACGGAGACAGAGACAGAGACAGACAGACAGACAGAGAGAGACAGAGAGAGATGGCTGAGTTAGGATTAGTTGTGCAAGCCTGTTATCTCAGCCAAGCCCCACTCAGGAGGCTGAGGCCCGAAGATTATATAAGTTTGAGCCCTGCTTGGGCTATGGATTGAATCCCAGACCAACAACAAAACAGAAAGGAGGAGAGACGGGGGCACACCTCCATGGCAGAGCACTTTTATCATATACTGGAAGGTTGGGTTCAGTGCCCAGTAACAAAAATGGTAACTTCTTGTACTTCTTGTAACTTTTGTACATTTTACAAAAAGAAGTAAAAATGGTCACTGAATCATTTATTTTAACTGTCTTGGCATCTTATTCTAGGGTGTTCTTCATTTTGAGGACCCCTTCTAGAAAGCTGCCATTGTCATCCCAGCAGAAGGGAGTGCATCAAGAGTTAAAACAATTGATTGAAAAGTTTCTCAAAAAAAAAAAAAAAAAAAAAAATCAGCTACTGGAAATGCAGGCTATAAATAGCTCTCATTTCCCTCCTGACCTGATGTGGTGACTCTGCTTATCTGTGTGGACTAGAAGCACTGCTTGGCAGAACATATGACATTGATTAATAAGAGGAAAGGCTGGATTAGCCATTAGGTAAATTAGCAGAAAAATTATAATCAACCTTAATTAAAGCATTATAACCCAGGTCAGCGGGATGGTTTAGCAGGTAAATCCAGGCTTGGTAGCCTCAGCACCATTTCCAGGACCCACAACCACAGCCGGCACATGTGTGTGTGTGTGTGTGTGTTTTGATATTGGGACAGAAAGGTGGCTCAGCAGGTAGAGCTGTTTGCCACCAAGGCTAACCCCAAGTCCTCTGACCTCTATGTTCCTGCCAGTTGTCCTTTGACTTACACAGACACACACATACAGAAACACACACACACACATCTAAAATAAATGTAATTTTAAAAATTAAAATAAATCTAATTTGATAGGCAAATTTCAAAGTAAAAAAAAAAAAACAAAACGAGTAGTCTAAAATACCAAATACACATCCTCCAGGGTTTTCTAAAAGAGACAGAGAATGCTATCCATGCAGCAGAGTGTATTTAGAGACTGCATTTCTTGTGGATGTTTTTCTGATGGTGGTAAAGGGTTGGCCCCGAGTCATTCACATTCCTGTCCAGTTTGTCTTTCAACTCCCTGAGTCTTCTCTCTGGTGTGAACTCAGCTTAGGGCAGAGGATGTATAGTGCCTATTACCTTGGCCTAATGAGCAGCAACAGCTTACCAGCAAACCCGGGGTTCAGCCAACTCTGCATTAGTGGAAGGGCAGTAAACTCTGAGGGTTTAGTCAGAAGTGACCACTGTTGTCATTACTATGGGATTTACTGCACGCTGGTCCATGGAGAAGAAGCATGGCTTCCTCTGAGGGTAGCCATGTGTCGTGAGGGGCTGTGGAGGAGCAATAAGCTTGGATAGTGAGGACGCCGCCTCTCCAGTACTGCTTCTCCCTCACCTGCGGTCTTTGGACTTAAGCTTCCTCTTGTCTGTTTTTTCTTCCACCTCTTTCTGCATCCACAGATGGGGTGGCGGCCTTCCGTGCCTTCCTGAAGACCGAGTTCAGTGAGGAGAACCTGGAGTTCTGGCTGGCCTGCGAGGAGTTCAAAAAGACCAGGTCAACGGCGAAGCTAGTCACCAAGGCCCACAGGATCTTTGAGGAGTTTGTGGATGTGCAGGCGCCTCGGGAGGTGTGTCCGTCATGACAACTGTCTCCCGTGCTCTTGGGAGGTGGGGTTGAGCCGAACCCTGGGATTTCTTCCTACCCTAATGAGGCTCCCAACTCTGATGAGAAGTGGGTAGCCTTGGTCTCTGAGGGCCCGTGACCTTGCTCTCTGTTTGTATCTCCAGGTGAATATCGATTTCCAGACCCGAGAAGCCACGAGGAAGAACATGCAGGAGCCATCCCTGACTTGTTTTGATCAAGCCCAGGGGAAAGTACACAGCCTCATGGAGAAGGACTCTTATCCCAGGTTCCTGAGGTCCAAAATGTACTTAGATCTGCTGTCCCAGAGCCAGAGGAGGCTCAGTTAGACCTCGAATGGGGACTCTTGGAAGTCACTGGCTTTCCCTTCCCCTTGCTGCCAAGACCATATTCTAATGTGAAATGTCAGAGATGTTCAAAGGCACTGGGGTTTGGGGCGGGAGGCTGAGGGTGACAAGGGAATGAAGGGCTGTTCCAAAGTACGACCCAGCTGCTGGGGCTGGGCCTCTCTTCTATTTACCCAGATCTGTGTTTTGGTTAGAGGTAGCTCCTCTGCTGTCACCCTTCCTTCTCTGGGTGGGTCAGTCACTGGCCCTTTATAACGCCTTCGGTCATCTCTACTGAGAAGGCAGATTCACTGTGCCGGGCTACTTTGTAAATAATGCAAACGCATTTACCATCACCTCACCACCACACCCTCTTCACTAGGATTCCAGATCTTCACCTTGTCCTTTAACCAAAGGAGGAGTAGTTAGAAGACTCAGGTTCTCCCTTGAGACTTACTGTCACAAACCAGTGGCCCAACCTGAGTACCTGGACCTCACAATTCCTAGCACCACTGACGGGTGACCTCTGACAAAAGACATATTCCCTGGAGTTGACTGTGTCTTCTGTTTCTGCAGGACCAATATGAGAGTCTGGGGTCCTTTCTTATCCTAAGGAATTCACCAAACTTCTTTATACTTGCGATTCCAAGAAAGGGTCTTGGGAGATTCCTCCCGTGACTTCTGAGTGGAGCTGCCCTTTTGAGAGAGAGGCTTTGTGAATCTTCCGTAATTCCATCAAGAGCTTTTCTAGAAGCCGGGTGATCAGGAAATGTAGCATCAGTAGACTTTTTGCTCAAAATGAGGCTCCATATAACCTGTCTGTTGCCTAATGTATTCTGTGCCCTTACCTCCCCATGGCTTCACATATCACCGATCTTTTAGGACGAAAGGCAGCTTGGCAAAGGGAGGTAAAATTCCCCATAGCATGACAGCTTTCCTAGTGCCTGATGCTTTTCCTGTCTCTCCACCTCCTCCTTCCATGCAGGCCATGTAACTATGATGGGGGAGAATGGGAACCTAGGCGGAAACTCTCATTGCAGCTTGCTTCCTGGGCAACCTTTCTAAGGAAGGTTTCACTTTGGGCTGTGTAGAAATAGCTTCCTTCTTGGTCTCTAGTCTTTGGGACTGAACATGAACTGGGAAGAACACTGTGAACATCAGGCGGTGGAAACTTTCCGACAGTGCTTGTGTGGTACCCTGAGGCTGCTCTTGGAAATGCACCAGGACGCTCTTTCTTGGAGGAGGCATGAGCAACGTGGAATCTCTGCAGTGACCCAGGAGGAAACTGACTCTGCTATCTCCTGCAGTGACAGGGAGATGAACCTTCAGCGTAGAGACCAGATAATGGAAGATGAGCCTGGAAGCTGATGGCCTCTGGGTGAACCGAATCAGAGAATGTAGAGGAGTCACTCCTGTGATCATTCGCAACCAGTCAAGTCAACTTGGGCTTACTGATGAGCCATGAACTTTCAGCTTGAGCAAATGAAATAGTCCACGGCCAGGCTGCCCTGGAAAGTAGGCGGTAGAAAGCTGGGCTGACATTCTCCTTTTGTGAGGTGCTAGCCCTTTTGAGGTATTGTAGGGTTTGTATTCTGGTCTTGGAGAATCAGTTTCTTGGTTGTAGCCAGACAAGGCCAAGAAGGCCCTTAAGTCCTACCCTGTTAGTGCCAACCGCCCTTCTAGTGGCACATTGTCATTTGTGAATGGGTGTTGGTTTCTGTGTGTAGACTTCAAAGAGAGAGAAGAACACCTATTTTCTAGGCCTCACATGGAAGAGACCTGAGGCAGTCACATTTAATAAGAACCCTGAAGCTTCAAATAGCATCCCAGTTAGGTCAGATAGGTTTCCCCACCCCGATATAAAAATATTCTTAGCTAAAGCTGCCAGAACTAATGTGATGATTAAATTCTCTAACAGGGTATTTTAAACATTGTTTACATATGAAATGTGCATCTGCTACCAATGCTACTGTCCAATAGGAGGTGCATTGGACAGTATTGGACCCGCAGTGATGGAAATGTCCTAGAAAGGTCTTCTCACCCCTTGTACTGTCCCAATGCAGAAAGGCTCCACGTACATCCTGCAGCACCTTTGTTTGGGGCCTAGAGTTCTTGCCAACTATTGGTGGAAAGAAGGTTGCAGAGGGTGATGTCATGATACCTGGTGACCCCTTCCCACTTGCGAGGTATGAAGAACCAAGTTTGTGTATCCTGACTTTTGTAGCTAGACACGGGCATGTGAGTTTGTGTCTGTGTGTATGCGTAGAGGAGCAGATAGCTCTGTTTATGCTACTCTCATGGAGCATCTCGTGTGTGTATGTCTGTGTGTGTGTGTGTGTGTGTGTGTGTGTGTGTTGTGAGTCTTTGGGCAGTACACTGCAGACATGATCTTCCCATGTGGGTAGCTTTTCACATACCCCATCTCCCCAGCTTCTCATAGGAGACACAGAACTTCTCACCCTGACCCCGCCTCTTAGGCCTTTTGGTCATGCTGGCCCAGATTGTGGTCTGTGATGAAACAGAGAAATGTTTACAACATCTAGAGCAATATCCAAGCATACCTCATCTCTGAGCTTCCACGTGTCCCAGTCCCCTCCCCTCAGTTCTTCCTCTACGAGCCTTATCTGCCTCCCTGGGTTGTCATCACAGTGCTGCCTTTTCCCTTTCATGTCTTCCTTTGCTCCAGTCATGCAGAGAGTGCTGACGACTGGCCCTGGACTCAGGCCAGCCCAGGCAGCAGGGTACAATGCTGTGGCTTTCTATCCCTTGGTCCTACTGGAGTATTTGCTTATTTTTGTTCGGGTGTGTGGTTTGCTGTTGCTCTCATGGACCAAGCAGATCTCAGTCACTGACAGCTTTGGCACTCTGGGTTGGATGAGAGAGTGATCCTCTGAGCAGGCAGTATATATTATTAAACCTAGGCATGAATAATAGGGGTCACCCTGAAAGCCCCTCACAAATGTTAATTCCCAGCTTCTGTACTCAGAGACGCTGATCTCAAACTTAGGGAAGGGACCCATGAAGCAACATTGAAAAAAGAAAAGAAACCCTCCTGGATATGTAATGGCGTGTGGGCATTGGACAAAATGGCCCAAGACTGGTTCTTAACTTCATTGCTCACAGGCTTACCTGGGGAGCACCAAAAAACAAACAAACAAACAAACAAACAAACAAAACCTAACTGTTTAATGTCTACCAAATAGCTAAATCAGAGAGGCCTGGAGGGAGCCAGGTGGCAGCAGTTTTTAATATTCCACTAGCGGTCCCAATGTCAGGAAGCAGTGGTAGCCTAAAGAATGAAGAGGAACAGACTGACAGTGAAGAAAAAAAAAAAACTAAACTAAACAAAACAACAACAAACCCAGCAGTGAGGAGAAGGCACAGCAGCCCACCTGGATGCAAAAAGCACAAAGAGCAGGACACCTTGCGTGCTCCGCAGCTGACTCTTGGAGTGGTTGCTTTGTGCCTCTCACTCCGACTTGCTCCTTTGAGGCCACGTTTGTGATCAAGCTACTTGCACCAGGTGGCAGCAGGTCATGCCAAGGCGGGGAACATGAAGGGCACTTGACTGAGAGCTGTTTTGCCATGCTTCCCCTGCCCTTCCCACAGCACTTCCTCCAGGCCTGCATCATGAACTCTATCCCTGTTTGTTTTCATATACTCTTGTGTTTGGCCCTTTTGCATCAGGCAGTGCCTCTGTACCCAAGGCCATGCAATAGGATAGCTGGAGCATAGGTAGTGAGTGAAGAGTGTCTTGGTAGTGATGACCGTGGTACAATAGCTTCCAAATTTCGTCCCTTCCTGAAGAGGATCAAATGGGGGGGGGGTGCTTTCCAAGACTACGGTGAGATGTGGTTCCCTGCTTCCAACCCTCACTAGCTATTTTCTCTTTGGTCCCATGTTGGGTAGGCAACAAGAAAGCTGCTAGCTGGCTCTATTTTCTGGTGCTTTCCCCAGAACTTGCTGCTCTGAGAAACCAAAGCTGTGAAAAGGCGAATGCTCTGCCCAGGTGCTTGCCCTGGACAGGGCCACAAGCCCTGGATGGTAGAGAATCAGTCTCTCTGCTGTGAGGGGAAGGCATGAGAGCTGGGGGAGGGGGAGCAAGGGGGAAGGCTGAGGAGGAAAGGGCAGGGCAGGAGAGCCCCCAGCTGCCAGCATGGTAGCTGTTTCTCTGTGTCCCGGAGGGAAAGGTGAAGAGAAGGAGCACATTCATAGGCAGGATGGCCTTCTAGCAAGGATAACACCAGAATCCCGATGGCCCTGCAGAGGAACTGTTGTTTCCCTCCCCTGCTTTCAATCTGCCAAGTGTCTGCTCCCCTTAAATCCGTACCCCTCCCATGAAAGCAAGAGAGGTGGTAAGAGCAGTCCTGGCACTGGGAGCCCATGCCACCGAGCCACTTGGTGTGAGACTGAGGCAGGAGAAGCCAAGAGGAGAGAAGGCTTTCTACTCCTGTGGCTTCTCAAGGACTATACAAGATGCTGTAGGCCACAACGGAAGACATCAGGACGGGACTACTGGCCTCACCCGGTTCTGGGTTTGGGGTCCTCTCCATAAACTGTCCATTTCTTGAACTTACTCCCTCTGCTCCCTCCCCCTGCCAGATTAAGAGAAGGTGACCAGGCTCCCCACGTGCACTGACAATGGTAGCCTCAGCTGGTCACTCCTGGAGCACAACAGATTCCTAGCAGCTCATGTGCCGTATAAACCGCTTGGCTGACGGAGTCCTCATTGAGTCCTTTCACTACCATGTAAAGTGGAGTACATTCACCTTTACTATACACAGGCTGTGAGAACATAATAAAACCTGAACAAGCTGCCCTCCGCTCTCTGCCCACGTTTCTGGCCGTCTGAGTCTTTATGAGGAAACTCTTCACACAACACGTGGCCTCCACAGGGGGAGCATGTGGCCCTGCCCTGCCACAGCTGGCACGGAGCTGGCCACCAGGAAGAGTCGGGGCGTGGATAGACACGGGTTGATTGAGAATGGTCTGGGGCTGAGCGTAGGGGGTGGTGATGAGAGTGGCTTTGAAACTGTGAAGTGCTATACAAAAGCCAGGTGGTATTTTTTTATTTTTGCCACCTACAGCTTGAAAACGCAGGGAGAGAAAGGGTTTGCAAGTTTGTTCAGCGGAGGCCATCTGAACACACAGTGGGTTCATATGGCTGCCTTTGTGCGGTGGCGTGTCCCTGAAAGGGGCTGCGTTAGTCATCAAGTCTTTGTCCCCGGTGCTCGGGTCCTGCTGAGGGGACAAAAGGAGAATGAGACATCGATTCTGCTGGCAAAGGCTTCTTCTGCGGGTGGGGTGAAAACGTGGAGATACATGAAACTTTAGCAATCCAACTAAATTGAAATTAAATTATAATCAGACCAGGGAAGGTCTGGCTTTAGTGGGAAGTTGATTCTCCTTCAGTGGTAAAACCTCTGGGTTAGATGAAAAGGGGGCTGATTATGCAAATGACGCCCCTCACATCTCAGTTTGGCAGACCAGAAATGGCAGGCCAGGCTGCTGCAGACTAAAGTGCTCCCGGGAGAATACAGGTGGCTTTCTCTTTCTCCAGCTTTGCTTTTCAACTTCTCTCTTAACTGTCGCCAGGAGAGAGTGGAGGAGGCAGAGAGAGAGGTAAAGGATCAGGTGTGGATGCCACTAGCCTGGGCTGTGAGCTCTCAGCCTGAGTGCCCTGCTAGTTGACCGATGACACTGTGTCTCAGGAGACACTCCTTGCAACACCCTCCATGAGAGTGACCGCCACTCTGGCTGTGCCTGCTTCTTCCTGGACTGTACCCTGTGATTTGGTAGCCTCAGCAGTCTGCTTTTTTCCACTGGTCAGAGGATGACCCCGTGCTGGTCTTCTCTCAGAATGCTCACGACTGGGGATGCTTAGGCTCGATAAAGCAGGAAACGGGCTTTGTTTGACAGCCAGGCTCCTTAGGCAGCCTAACTCTTACATCACTGACTTTGTTGGCTGAAATCAGAACCCCCATCTCTGGGCCTCAGGCCCAGGCATCAGGGGCACATGCCAGGCTCTTTAAGGGACCATGGATCCTGCTTCCTACTGGAGAGGTCAGAGTCAAGCCCACTCTTCTCTTCTTCCTCTTCCTTTCCTTGCTTCTGGGGAGGGGTTGTGGTAGGGCTCACAGTTTTCAATAGCTTCCTCCATAAAGCTTCACAAACTCCCTCCTGTGGTCTTCTGCTCTTTGGACAGGGTATCAGGACCCCCTCACTGGCTTTCCACACCCTTCCTTAATGGCTATTTGGTTCGGAACTGACTCTTGTATCTTGTTCTTCTGAACTATGGCAGAAGCTCTGGACTTGGGGGCTACAGCTTGCGTATCCTAACACATTGCATCTAAGGGAAAAAATAAGTCCTACATCTACTGAGGGAGAGTCATTGCTAAGGGCAAGGAGGTCCTGGCTCCTGTGGAAAGCTGTTTAGCTGGGCCTGTCTTTACCATGGAGCTGCTGCAACAGAACACCATAGAGTGACCAATTCTAAAGACAATAGAACTGTATTTCTGTTGTGTCACTGGCCGAGTGTTAGGCCATACTTCTGAGTCACAATAGTAGAACGAAATTAAGGCAGCTCTCAGTTCTCATTTTAGAAAAAGATACAAATCCCACCTGTCCATGCTTTACCCCGTGACACAGAGGGCCATCTAGGCCCACAGCCTAGGTCACTGTAGCTTGATGGGAAAGGCACAGTCCAAGGGCTGCCTTCGATTGGGCCACAGCTACAGGTTCCTCCTCAGGGTCTGGAATCTGATGCTAACAATTTCTGGATTTCAATCTCAGTTTTAACTCTTGCAGGGTGTATGAGTCTAGGGGGATGTTCTCACTCCTGTGCTGCTTGCTGGAATATTAAAGAGAACCATGACCACTGAGTGATACAGAGCAGGAGGTAAAGGCAATGGCTGCGTGAGCCAGAGTTCCATCCCCAGAGCCCATGTAAAGGTGTCTTCCAAATGCACACCAGGGCAGGCATGCCCCTGACACTGCAGTAAGCAACAGTAATAAAAGACCGCCATGGAAAGCCAATGCTATCGCAAAATCAGTGTGCCACCCCTTCTTTGTTACACTAAACTCCCTGAGGGCAGAGACTATATTCCTCATTCCTTGTTCTAGTCCCTAAATGTTTACCGGAAGAATGTTGAATCCACAAGTGCTTTGAGGAGGCTCCGGAGCACAGCTTAGATGCTAGCATAATTTAGGGGTGGAGGCAAGAACTCTAAGACCTGGGGCCTCAGTGAACTTCCTTGGTTCTTACAAGGACTTTCCTTTTTGTTTGCAAGCATTGGTACCTGCCAGATGAATGTTGGTGGCTGTATACTTACAAGCAGGAAAAATAAAAGGAAGCAATTGAAAAGTCGGGAGCCTGGCTCAGTGATTTAGTTTCTTCATCTAGCTGGATCTTTTTGATAGGTCCCTGAGACAGCACATTAGTTTGCTATGACTGTCAAGATAAAATACCATGGATGTCATCCCAAGACAATAGAACTTTATTATCTCTTAATTCTTGAGCTAAAAGTTCAAGATCAAGGCCCTTGTGGGCTGGTCCCCAGTGAGGCATCTCTCCTGGTCATGTGGATGGCTGTGTGCTTGCTGCTGAAGGGAGGTACATCCCTGAACCAGTCAGCCAGTCGTGTCTCCATTCCTACTTCAGGCACTAATACCAGCCTTGTGGGCACCTACAGGGGCTGGCTCTCTCCAGAGGCAGCTGATGGGAGAGCACAGGGGATTCGGGTCTGCACAGGCCAGAGACTCAGTGCGGATCCTGTGGGAACCTCCTGATTTCCAAGCACTGGATTCTATTTTTCATGCATGAAGTATGAGCCGCTTACATTCATTTGGTAGGTGCCAATTCTTGAAGAATGGAAAGTCCTCAGACAAACCAAGGAACTCCTGGGCTCTCCTTCTCTTCTCAGAAGGACAGACGCCATAGTAGATTACAGATACTTCCTTAATGCATCACTTTAATTTCATGGCCTCTTTGAAAGGTACTTGAGGTACTTGAGGTTAGGCATCGACCTTGTAAATTTAGGAGAAAGCAACTCAGCCCATTATCAGGTAGATGCTGCTGTTATCCCCGAGAACAGAAGAGGAAATGGAAGTACAGATGGGTTATATGATATCCCCAAGGGCACACAGGGTGGAGCTGGCAGGACTGGGCACTCTAAATCCCGATGTCTACTGTGCTGTGGACAGAGGGTTCCTCGGGGGATGAGGTGGTGGAGGGGGGGGAGCTTGGGGTGCTAGAACTGAGCTGTTGATGGGATGGGACTGGTAAGTATACACAGTGTGGGCTGACAAGAGCAGAGATGGGACACCTTCCTCTGCTTTTCTCCCTGGCTTCCTGGTACAAAACAACTATGGTTGAAAGACCTGCTGCAAAGTCTGCCTGAGGTTAGATTGGCCAATTATGTGCCAGGCTGTTCTCTGGCAATGAGTGCAGACTCAGTCATTGAGTTTGATTTGTGTCTGTCCTGCCCTTTCTACCGTCTCCGCTAGTCTGTCAATCTGTCTTCCACAGCACATCAAGGGCACAGCATTATTTTTAGGGAAGCTGAGTCACAGCCCTGTGCACAACCTGAGGACACGAGGCTCCATTTTCCTTATCTGTTGTGGGAAGGTACATCCCTGGTGAGCAGACCTCAAAGCCATCTCCATCCCTTGGGTACTAACGTTGGCCTTGTGGACATGCGTAGGGGATGCCTCTGTCCGGAGGTAGCTGGAAGGAGAGCACAGAGGATTCTGAGACACAGAGGAAAGAGCCTGGCTGGTGATGCTGTCCAGGACCCTAGGGAAGGAAGGCACTTAGCTTCTCCTGGCCTTGCTTTCCTTATTGGCAAAAGGGGCCCAGTACATTTCCTAGCAGGATAGACACAAGGGTTATGGGTAATTTATTGACACCACCTGGAGCAGGTATTGGAGAGGTTCTTCAAAATGTGTAGCTTAAGTTCTAGAGGTCCTGGTGTGAAAACATCTTAATAGTTGGCCCCTCAACTTTATCTGGGATCAGAGCATGTCCAGGGGTAGTCGGCAGTTAGTCAGCTGAGGTGGGTGAAGGAAAACTATGCTTGCAGAACAAAACAAAACAAAACAAAACAAAACAAAACAAAACAAAACAAAACAACTAGGATCTCTGTTAGCTTGGAACAGAGGTCTATCACTTAAGAGGGTATTGTGTTAAGCAAGTTCGATGTGCCAGGATTGGATTCTTGTCACATAGCTCTTGAATGCACCGCCCCAGAGGCAAACAGATTAACTGGATGTTTGAGTTGGCAGAGTTAAAACAACAACCTCCTTGCAACAGATCAGCTGATCAGGCACCAACAGCGTGCTCTTACCTAATGTCCCCCAGCAGGAAGCAAGCTATACTTTTGCCTTCTAGGCTCTGGGGAAGCACACACCGGTGAACTACGCCGGAATGAATGAAAATGGAGCCTCTTCCAACTCACAATAGCTATGTGCAGGCTTGCTGGGATGTGAAGGGAAATGATTTCAGTCACATGCTCTAAAAATGAACACACGGGGGTTTTCCAGTAAAGATATTGTTAGGCCAGTTGTAGCTAATGTGCAAGGATCATCGTTGAGACCCGGAAGCTCCCCAAGGAGTGATTGGCAGCATCTCGCAGCGGATGGCAAGGAAGTGGGGTGAGGGGCTGGGATGCGGGATTCTCCAGTTAGGCTTCTGGGAGTCTGTGCATCACGATCGATCGTATTCAAATCCCAGGACGTGCGGATCATGAATAACTCTTACTGCAAGGTCGGGGAGTCTCGTCCCCGGGGAGGTGACTGTGGACAATTACTCAGCAGCCAACTTGCTTTCTGT